TTCAGTGTGTACATGTGAGATTTCCTACCCAGAGAAAAGCACACAGTTAAGGTGAAATTAATTCAATATTGTCGATTTCGTAGGAGACAAGTAAACACTGAATTCCAAGCAGGGTGCTTGTGTAAACTAGTGTCCGATATGGGCAGGGATTTCAAGTTCGTGATAAAATATACCCAAATTCGTACAATTACCGAATTGATTTTATATACGTATATATAAATTACGTTTCGACGGACTATCTTATAGCTCAAGCATAACTGAATTCATTCTCAGCATCGTTTCGTCGTTATGACGTCATACTCATTAAAGTCCGAGCGTCAGAGACTGACGCCATAGTGATTGTTATAAGTTGAAAAATACAAATTCTCGAGAACTGTCTAATAAAACTCAAATTGTCAGAGACGCATAGGAAAAAGAAACCATTCTCACTACACAATCATAGAAAGGACGGAACAAACCAATCACACCAATTATCTGCGAAAAGATAACTGAACACTGCACCTATGTTCAGAGAATATTAAACTTTTATAAAAAAAAATCAAGAGAGGAGTGAACAGTAAAAATAATATTCAAACACGATTGAACAGTCACTGTAACGCCCGGAGGAATGAACAGTCACAAGTAACGTCCGGATGAATGTACAGTCACTGTAACGTCCGGAGGAATGAACAGTAATTGTAACGTCCCGAGGAATGTACAGTCACTGTAACGCCCGGAGGAATGGATAGTCACTGTAACGCCCGGAGGAATGAGCAGTCTCTGTAACGTCCGGAGGAATGTACAGTCACTGTAACGACCGGAGGAATGAGCAGTCACTGTAACGTCCAGAGGAATGAACAGTCACTGTAACGTTCGGAGGAATGTACAGTCATTGTAACGTCCGGGGAATGTACAGTCACTGTAACGCCCGGAGGAATAAACAGTCACTGTAACGTCCGGAGGAATGGATAGTCACTGTAACGGCCGGAGGAATGTACAGTCACTGTAACGTCCGGAGGACTGTACAGTCACTGTAACGTCCGGAGGAATGTACACTAACTGTAACGTCCGGAGGAATGTACAGTCACTCTAACGTCCGGAGGAATGTACAGTAACTGTAACGACCGGAGGAATGTACAGTCACTGTAACGTCCGGATGAATGTACAGTAACTGTAACGTCCGGAGGAATGTACTGTCACTGTAACGTCCGGAGGAATGTACAGTAACTGAAAAGTCCGGAGGAATGTACAGTCACTGTAACGTCCGGATGAATGTACAGTAACTGTAACGTCCGGAGGAATGTACTGTCACTGTAACGTCCGGAGGAATGTACAGTAACTGTAACGCCCGGAGGAATGAACAGTCACTGTAACGTCCGGAGGAATGGATAGTCACTGTAACGGCCGGAGGAATGTACAGTCACTGTAACGTCCGGAGGACTGGATAGTCACTGTAACGTCCGGAGGAATGGATAGTCACTGTAACGTACGGAGGAATGGATAGTCACTGTAACGTCCGGAGGAATGTACAGTCATTGTAACGTCCGGAGGAATGTACAGTCATTGTAACGTCCGGAGGAATGGATAGTCACTGTAACGCCCGGAGGAATGAGCAGTCTCTGTAACGTCCGGAGGAATGTACAGTCACTGTACCGTCCGGAGGACTGTACAGTAACTGTAACGTCCGGAGGAATGTACTGTCACTGTAACGTCCGGAGGAATGTACAGTAACTGTGACGTCCGGAGGAATGTACAGTCACTGTAACGTCAGGAGGAATGTACAGTAACTGTAACGTCCGGAGGAATGTACAGCCACTGTAACGTCCGGAGGAATGTACAGTAACTGAAACGTCCGGAGGAATGTACAGTCACTGTAACGTCCAGAGGAATTTACAGTCACTGTACAGTCACTGTAACGTCCGGAGGAATGAACAGTAATTGTAACGTCCCGAGGAATGTACAGTCACTGTAACGCCCGGAGGAATAAACAGTCACTGTAACGTCCGGAGGAATGGATAGTCACTGTAACGGCCGGAGGAATGTACAGTCACTGTAACGTCCGGAGGAATGAACAGTCACTGTAACGTTCGGAGGAATGAAAAGTCACACCAATGTTCAAAGAGAACCGAAGATTTGTTTTAATGTTTAAAGAGAACTGAACAGTCATACCAATGTTCAAAGAGAACTGAACAGTCACACCAATGTTCAAAGAGAACTGAACAGTCATACCAATGTTCAAAGAGAACTGAACAGTCACACCAATGTTCAAAGAGAACTGAACAGTCATACCAGTGTTCAAAGAGAAATGAACAGTCATATCAGTGTTCAAAGAGAACTGAACAGTCACACCAATGTTCAAATAGAACTGAACAGTTACGGTAATGTGTTGAGAGTAAAGAACAGTCACACCAATGTTCAAAGAGAACTGAACAGTCATACCAATGTTCAAAGAGAACTGAACAGTCACACCAATGTTCAAAGAGAACTGAACAGTTACGGCAATGCGTTGAGAGCAAAGAACAGTCACACCAATGTTCAAAGAGAACTGAACAGTCATACCAGTGTTCAAAGAGAAATGAACAGTCATATCAGTGTTCAAAGAGAACTGAACAGTCACACCAATGTTCAAAGAGAACTGAACATTTATTCCAATGTTCAAAGAGAACTGAACAGTCACACCAATGCTCAAAGAGAACTTAACAGTCATACCAATGTTCAAATAGAACTGAACAGTTACGGCAATGCATTGAGAGTAAAGAACAGTCACACCAATGTTCAAAGAGAACTAAACAGTCATACCAACGTTCAAAGAGAACTGAACAGTCACACCAATGTTTAAATAGAACTGAACAGTTACGGCAATGCGTTGAGAGTAAAGAACAGTCACACCAATGTTCAAAGAGAACTGAACATTTATCCCAATGTTCAAAGAGAACTGAACAGTCATACCAATGTTCAAAGAGAACTGAACAGTCACACCAGTGTTCAAATAGAACTGAACAGTTACGGCAATATGTTGAGAGCGAAGAACAGTCACACCAATGTTCAAAGAGAACTAAACAGACATACCAACGTTCAAAGAGAACTGAACAGTCACACCAATGTTCAAAGAGAACTGAACATTTATCCCAATGTTCAAAGAGAACTGAACAGTCATACCAGTGTTCAAAGAGAACTGAACAGTCACACCAATGTTCAAAGAGAACTTAACAGTCATACCAATGTTCAAATAGAACTGAACAGTTACGGCAATGTTCAAATAGAACTGAACAGTTACGGCAATGTTCAAATAGAACTGAACAGTTACGGCAATGTTCAAATAGAACTGAACAGTTACGGCAATGTTCAAATAGAACTGAACAGTTACGGCAATGCGTTGAGATCAAAGAACAGTCACACCAATGTTCAAAGAGAACTAAACAGACATACCAACGTTCAAAGAGAACTGAACAGTCACACCAATGTTCAAATAGAACTGAACAGTTACGGTAATGTGTTGAGAGTAAAGAACAGTCACACCAATGTTCAAAGAGAACTGAACATTTATACCAATGTTCAAAGAGAAATGAACAGTCATACCAATGTTCAAAGAGAACTGAACATTTCTCCCAATGTTCAAAGAGAATTGAACAGTCACACCAGTGTTCAAATAGAACTGAACAGTTACGGCAATATGTTGAGGGCAAAGAACAGTCACACCAATGTTCAAAGAGAACTGAACAGTCATCCAATGTTCAAAGAGAACTGAACAGTCACACCAGTGTTCAAATAGAACTGAACAGTTACGGCAATATGTTGAGAGCAAAGAACAGTCACACCAATGTTCAAAGAGAACTAAACAGACATACCAACGTTCAAAGAGAACTGAACAGTCACACCAATGTTCAAATAGAACTGAACAGTTACGGTAATGTGTTGAGAGTAAAGAACAGTCACACCAATGTTCAAAGAGAACTGAACAGTCACACCAGTGTTCAAATAGAACTGAACAGTTACGGCAATATGTTGAGAGCAAAGAACAGTCACACCAATGTTCAAAGAGAACTAAACAGTCATACCAACGTTCAAAGAGAACTGAACAGTCACACCAATGTTCAAAGAGAACTGAACAGACACACCAATGTTCAAATAAAACTGAACAGTTACGGCAATATGTTGAGAGCAAAGAACAGTCACACCCATATGTAGAGAGGAATGAAAATTCACAAAAAAGAACTGAACAGTCTTCGCAACGTTCATAGGACTGATAGTCATCAGTTGAAACTATATTCCGAGAGCAATAAACAGTTAAAATTATAAGATAATTTGTAAATATCACATCATAAGTAAGAGACGACTAAACTATTACAAAAACAACAGTATTTTGCAATATTCAAACAAGACTGACCAACCATAACAAATGTTAAGGTAGACTGACCAATCACAACAACCGTCACAAAAAGAACATGTCAACCGCATAACTGTAACATTTAGCCATCACAACAACAATCTTCACATAGGGCTGACCAATCACAGCTATGGTTACAAACAGAACGTATCAACCAAATAAATAGATAATTTGCCATCAAAACAACAACTTTAACATAGAACTGATCAATCAAAGCAATCGTTAATGACAAAGACCAATCACAGCACCTTTTTATACAATATTTTGCATTAAAAACACATGGAATATAAAAAGGCGAACACATTATGATACAACCACAAAAAATAGGCAATTAGAGCTGATAAAAAAATAACAAAAAATAATTAGATAAATACATGAAGGCGACGGTCATTGCGTACAGAGTGCAAGCGCTCTAACTTGAAGAAAACCAATTAAACAAATATCGCCAGGATAAACAGTTCAAAATGGTGGAGAAGTGAAACCACATCAGATCAAAGGATCTAACTCATCGCTGAAACGAGATGATCATGTATTTACTACATGATGTAAACAAGATACCACGCGGAGGGATATCTGGGTTGTATCATGTGACCAGATATAAACCATACAATCTGACTACTTGTTGAACACTTACCTAGTAAATGATGTAATCCAGATCTTGGTACCGAGTCTTGTAACTCGCGTGAGGTCGCTAATAACAGACACTTCTTACGTTATATCTGTAGCTTGGTCTATAAAGGCAGTGCTGGTACAGTACTGTGTTTCAAAGTCAATAAGGATAGTTAGTTCCAACTTTGTTTAATGTGATTCGGTACACACGTAAGATGTTTGATGATTAAAATGCAAAATTAAGGTTATCACTTATAGTTCCACTTAAATTTAAAAAAATTGTTTTAGAAATGTTATAATTTTTCATTAATTATTATAGTAATTATGCTTTAGAATTAGAATACATAATTGTTTTTGTCATTCTTTGGTCCGTTTCTGATATCAAATGTCCGAAAATAGCAGAATCCGTTCCCCAGAGATAGAAAGGGAAATCAGCAAGCTTGAACCACAATCGCGAGCAAGGGGGGCAGAGGCACTTCCTTTTCTGTTATGTCGATCTCCTATAGGTATAACCTGGTTGTTATGGTAACAAGGTGTTGCCAAGTTACGCAAGTTAATTACACACCGAATGACAAAAATCTATTTTCTGTAACACAGGGAGAAATCCACAATATTCGTGTCAGAAATAACTAGAGAAACCTTCCCAAGACGTGATGGAATTCGACATCTCAAGTGCACGTGTGTTGCCTGTCTCTCTTGAAAGCTACGCCCCCTATTGTCATAGTTTCTCTTCGAAAGCGAAAGCTTGTTCAAGTACTAATACATTTCATCAATTTATGGTGTGTGTTTGAAGCGTTAATCAGGTCTCCTTTGATAATCCCACATCAACGTTTCAACGAAATGCGTGTCATTTCCATTTTAGGAGATGTGCGAGTCCCGCGTGCTATTGCACGTGCTAAGCAATGGACGTACAGATTCAGCAGCTATCAGCGCCAGCGAACAGAGGTTGCATGCAGTCCCGAAATCAGGGAGATACTGGCTGTTAAGCTTTATGATTGTTTCTTTTAGCCCGTGGCAACCCGCTTGTACGCTTGTATAGGTGAGATATTTTAACATAGTAAACCCTGCTGTAATGTAACAGACGCAGTACTCTCACGCGCACAGAACGTAGACACCTGATATACAAAATGTTCACATATATACCCTGCTAAAATAATGATGTAGGTAAAAATAAGTGTAAGACGCATTTCTCTCGAGCGGCTTGCCAAGAGAAAGTCAAATTATGTACAAAATGGTGTGCATAGTCTACGATAACTTACACTAACATTTGTTTGTTATTATGGCAAAAAACAACAACCTCACATGCTTACATTTCCGCACGCGCGAACACGGAAGCTTGAGGATGGCGGAAGGGAGAGATAACTGAGAAAGCGGGTGATTGGTGTAAGCTTTGCATACGAATTGGCAGGTGGCACAGCTAATGACAGTCTTAGAGAGAGAGAAAGCGATTCTGTAATGTCGAAGGAATGTGTGAGTCTGAGGGCGAGGGGAGGATGTCTGATACTACACCTAAGTTTAACCCACAGGACACGTACGTTATTTACTATGTTACGTAGATCAGTATGTGCATAGTCGCTTTAGTACTATGTGAAAAGTATGTGTAGGTATATTCACTACTCGTAGGGTCATTGACCTTACTAGACCGGAAATATTTACCCGGGTCAGAAAGGGATCTGAGACATGGTGTACACAAACTGTACGGTGCACATGCAGGGTGTACAAGTACACGGCAGTATATTTAAAGATATACTGGTGAATTTATTACGTATTTCAGTTTGTTCAATATGGCATTAAAACAACAACTCTAGGTAAGAAATATGCTACAATCCGAGTCATCCGCTTTCCGAACCGTAAATGACACCACAAACGGGAACTATCGGTACATTCCGTAAACGAGTATTTACGGAAAGTGTCGACAGCTACCGACTGATTGATACCACTTATAAAAAAAAAAACACCGGATATTTCTGGACATAGTTCAGCTGGCCTGACTTCAGTGAACTGGTGTTCGAGCGGTTTTTTTTTTGAATTTGGAATGGAGATGTGAACCTCATTATTTGATCATAGCGTTTCGTCACCAGTTGGTTTGGTTTAATTTTGCTTAACGTCCTATCAACAGCTAAGGTCATAAGAACGTGTCTCCATGTGTGTAATGCATTAATGCATGTGTGCCGGAGTCACGGTATGTTGGTGTATTTCCTCCTTGTGATAGCGCGGATCTCATGCCGACTTTATAGTGCTATCTCACTGAAATACCATGTCGAAGGTACCAATCACAGCATTCCGCCCAGTCACAATATTCTGACAACGGGTGAACCCTTGAACCCTTGACCTCCTCACCTTGGCGAGAAGGATGCAGGTCCCTTCAGCATTGAATGTGGACAGCTAGACACCCTATTTCATGAAAGTTTCGCAAAGAAAGAAAAAGGACTTAAAAGTTGTGCATTGTGTTAGCAATGATTTACTATAAACAAACACCAAAGACAAATCAAACATTTCCTTAGCTTTCTGTAGGGTGTTGGAAACAACAAAAATGACTTGGAACAATGAAACAAGTATTAATGCCGTCGAACATACAATCCTTTGTCATGCAATGTACCAATATCTTTCAACAGACGCGGACTTCTATCAGTCATATTGCCAATGACAAAGAGATATTTAAGACGATGTCGTGTTCCTTTAATCTTTAGATGCATTAACGTATTCACTCCTGAAGACACATTTGAACTCTTCCAATTCGAAGGTTGGAAGAGTTCATTATGAAATTTCAGGGGTGAATGAGTTAAACGAGACGTAATATTTGTCAATTTTGTTTTCACATATCAACTAATGAAAATATATATAACGTATTTTAAGCCATCAAAATCCACTAGATCAGCCAATGCTTTGCAATAAAATCAGAAACCAGACATCTAAAAACACCTGTCTATCATACTAGACCATTCACCGATTACTACCCTCCTTTCGGCGTGGTCCTGTTTGATGCAAATGGCTCCAATCACCGTATATGACTTTTTTTTAGCGATTTTGTTTCAAACAGCATTCTTGCCAGGATGTGAGTTCACGATGTGTAACCACCTGCTACATTGTATGTAGTTAGATTTGGCGAGATAAGGTTCGTTAAGTTTTTAATTGGTTTAGCGTCCTATTAACAGCTATGTTTATTTAAGTAAGTGTCTTTGCAGTATGTTGGTGTATTTGCCTCCTTGTAATAGCGCGGATAGGATGCCGACTTTGGGTGCTACTTCACTGAAATGCCATGTCGAAGGCACCCCAGCACAGTATTTCACTCGATCACGTTATACTGGCAATATATGCGTTAATCCTAAATACTGGACGTGAAGGCAGGGAGTAACAACTACCATTTTAGATGACTTTGGTATGTCTGGGGACAGAACCCTTTGCCTGCCCCATCTTCAGACCCCGGTTTCATCAACGTTCCTTAACTTGAATGCAAAACTTAAAATCGCTAAGGGATTCCTTAGCTAGGGTTTTCCGAAAAATGCGTATCATGAACGTTCATTAACTTATAACTAAGGAGCTCCTTAGCTAAGGAAAAGGCCGGTTAAAGTAGCTCCTTAGAGCAAATGAACGTTGATGAAACTGGGGCCATCAATACGGTCACCAATAAGGCACAAAGTGAGGTACTGCGCTAGGAAACAAAAAAGGGTTGGAAGTAAAGAGATTGAAGATCCCAAAGGTTGCAATAGGCAGAGCAGATTTATTTTGGCACTTTTTGTTTCGCCAATTATAGGGCACAGAAGCATGTTCCCGATTCTGCAGGGGGTTAACTCATCAATTGCCTCTTACAATGTGTAGCGGGCAAATAGAAGGTTTGCGACAGTCTTAACGATTTTGAAAATACGTAAATCTTGTTCTGTAGATTTTTAAAATAGTTATTTCCTGTAGACTCATTACGTTATAGTATAATTAGTCAGATTTTGATTACTAACGATGAGCAGTAAATCAATAATATGAATATCATTCGAGTTAGAGATGGATTTGCGTCCTTTTGAAAGTAGTCGACCACAATAACTCTTGTGATTGTTTAATGAGTATATCGAGTAAAAAACTTGATAATTTTGGGCATTTTACTTATTATTATTTAAATTATCTAGAAAGTTATGAATATGTAACGAATAAAACAATAATAGAACGGCGTGTTGATATATCTAGCTCTATTTTATCACCTAATAAGTTACCAATTCACGTGCTTCTACGAGAAAGTCAACCGTTTAATGTGTCTATGAAGTCATGTAACACGCGATCATGCTTCAAAGAAAATTGAAAAAGAATACCGTAGGAAGGGAGATAATCCGTACAGAACTTTGGTGCTCATGTCACCGGGGGCCCTATACCCGCGTCTATGGACAATTCGAATAGACATCAGTCCATCAAAGAATACCGTCCCGTTCACGGCGGTACCCGTTTATGCATCTGGAGGTACATATGATGTACATATGATATATCGCAAGAACAATAAAGGATCACAGTGGGCTACACTCTACCATTTTAAGATGGGGGGGGGGCACATCTAATTGTCAAAATTAAAGCAAACGTTTTTGAGACACTGAACAATGAACGGTAAAAAACATAAAATGTCACTTTATATATATATTAATTTACTACAAACTGCTGTGAGTTCCTAAATGGCGCACACCAATATTACTGGCATATACGCGTCAAACTTATGTAAACAAAACACTGGTTTATTTATGAAAAACATAAGTATGCCTTCAATCAAACGTATTCTCGGTTAGCTAAGCCATATAATCTGTCAAGATTACTGTCATCCGAACTAATTCCAGGTACGTACCCTGTAGGATACACATACATTTGTAATCGCCTATAAGCTGATATCGAACGCTGACCGGAGATTCTCAATGAATGTTCCTATACCTTATAATCTGAAGCTGATAATTCTTTAAAATGTTACAACCAGCACCCCGAGGCCGTAAACATTACCTTGTTGACATTACAAAACCACATGTATTCACAAATTAGTGTTTTCGTGTTTATGGATTGAGTCAATATATATTTCATAATACAAATGTATTTCGCTAGTCTGGACACTTATTTTCGATTGCCTTCCCCGGCATATGAGTTATGAAGTGATCGACACAGCCATCAAGATATTTGGAAGGCACATAATTCAATTTAGAAAAATATACAACAAAACAATAACAGCTTGATGTCTTAAAATAATCACGACTTTTTTCACTACTTTCAAATCATTATTACTGCCAATATCTACAAGTTGAAAATATTCCTTCGCAGGCAAGCTTTAATTTACTTCCCCACTCAATATTTCCTGAATTGGCCATCTATACGAGACAAAATACAATGAAAGAGTAAGATTTCTGAACCACAATTAAAAAAAAATGTATTGATCCCAAAAAATACACACATTTACAGAAAAAATCGGTTATTTTGTGATGTGAAAATCTCGTCTGCTGTATAACCGAACTTCTCGGTAGTAGAGCGGACGTTAAACCACTCAAACATACATTTTGCAGTTCGAAAAATGTCCATACTCAATAGTTTTAAGAGCACTCAGGCTAGGTCTCCAAATATCCGTGTTTGACTTTAATTTGGCAGAACTATAAAAATCAACTTTAAACTGTTCCCATTGAAAACCTAAAACACTAAATCCTCGAAACTTTAACGTTAGTGAGCTTGACCACTGGAGTTTCTAGGATGTCACTGCCCAGATTCATCTTAACTTTAATTATTGACAGTCGTAAAGATCAAACGTAAAATGAATCCAAACCACAGGCATTTTAGTTAAAATTATAAAAAAGAAATAAATAATAAGGATACAAGTATAGAGGTCGATTAAGTTCCGGACTGGTCCTGCTTTTAAATTAGTATTTTTGTTAGCTGAACTCAAGTGCTGGTGGTCGTACTCACTTTCACAATAACACACCCAGGCAAAGATATAAATGTTACTTACTCTCTCCCGATCTGTATCGATGGATCATCATGACCGGGGTCAGTTTCCCGTTGATGAAGGCGTAATGACTCCCCATCCTGATCGTTACCACAGAGTTTTAATCCCAATTAGA